ATGTCATTATTGTAAAGTGCAAGTTGGACTTGTCAACATGTAAAAAAATTTAAGTTGGTGCTGACATGTGAATGTATGACGGAGGCTAACAATACACGTGCTGCACGTGACTGTCTGGCGTTAAATTTTGTCTCATTTCCTTAAATTCGAAAACATAAAGGGTAAAAACTCATATATTGTAATATGAGGGGTAAAATGCCTCAAATTTGAAAAGTTGAAGGGCAAATGGGGGCTTTTGCCGGAAAATCGGATCCCACAGGCAAATATCCCCGGGGGAGGGGGGGTGGATTATCACGTTTCGTATTACGTAAGCGCCAATAATATACGTAAGCAATAAGATCCGCGCATACGAAAATTTAACTCACAAGTATTAAAAAACAAAAATAAGGTCGGTATGATTGAAAAGACATCCACTAATATATACTATATAATATATTTATTAAAATATTATCTATATTTTTTATTTAAAATTTAATATAGATAAATTTAAAAATATAATTATTTATGTAAAATATAAAAATTAATTAAATTTTTTGTATTAACCTTTAGATATTCGATAATTACATTGAATCTTGACTAATTCAGATGAAGTCGCGTTAGACCCTATTAGGAGAAAAGCTCTCCATGCGACTGCTTCTTCCTTAACAAGATTTGAATTTAAAATCTTGCTTTAGAAGAATCAAACTCTTTCTACTTGGATCAACATGTTATTGGTATAAAAATTGATTAAATTAATTATATTTATATTATATTTTAATAATTAAATTAAAATAAATATAAAAAATATGTTAAACATATACCAACCATTTTCATTCAAAAAATTTGAGGCTAAATTGTTATTTTATTTTATTTTATTTTATGTTGCATAATAAAATATATATTTTTTATTTTTAAATATATTCTACTCATATATCATACCATACAAATTTAAAATCTCTTACTTTTATTTTCTCTAAAAATGTACATTAAACTAATTATGTAATTGGCATGGTTAAATTAAATTAATATCATCTAAATTGTTACTCTTATGTCTCTTATCATTGCCTCTGGAATCAGATTCAAAATTTCGACAAATCAAAGTTGGGCTTCGGTACGCGGTAATAACTCATTCTGGAGATATACAGTAGAAACGAAAAGGAAGTAAATCAATAAAAAAAGAGTAGAATGATCAAGTTTATCTAAAATAGTGTGACAGATCTCAACTCAAATCAATTGTTAAATCAATGTATTGCTCTGTAAGTCTGATATAAGAATAAGTTTAAAATTTTGCTAAAAAAAATTAATTTGGAGATAAGTATAAAAATATAATACATATCAATTTTAACTCTATAAAAAAAAAAAAAAAAAGATTAGATTCTTAACTTTAAAACATTACCTTCTAATAATGAATATTTTCAAAAACTATTCATTCAATTTAGTGTTCTATTAATATAAATCATTTATATCATTTTTTATATTAATTGGGTATATATAATTAATTTATTAATCATAAAAAATTTATTATTGTTAAATATATATTAAAAAATATAAGTTTTTTAATTAAATAATTATAGATATTAGATTAATTTAAAAATTAATATGTATAATTTATATCAATAAAATATTAAATTTAATTGTTATTTTTAAAATTATTCATTAAAATAAAATATTTTTAAAATTAAAATTCTAATTTTTATAAAGAGTTCACACTAATACAAAAAAAACTTTTTCCTATGCATAAGTTGGACACATAAAGAAATATTAATAGTAAGACAATATGATGGGTTAATAACCACTCCAAATTGCCTTTGACCTTCTTGATCCAATGATTTTTGTTATAGGCAAATTCCCAAATCCTTGACTTAAATTCGATTCCTTCCCTCCTAATTTGTAATCTGTTAAAAAAAATAATCACTCCCAAATTGTAAACTACTGTAGTCGGAGTGTAAATTATTTCCTCCCATAATTAACTCTAATTATAATCCATATTTAATTCAATCAACAATTAATTCTCTCGTCAAATGCAATAAAATTTTGACATTTTAAAATTTTCTTTTCCCACGTATCCTTAATTAATTCCTGCACAAGAAAACAAACTGGTACAAAATTTGCACAGCACGGAAACGCAGGGTAATTATGTAAAAAACCCGTAAAAATCCAGACCGAGAGTAGGGCATTTTCGGAATCGAACGCAAAGAATCCAGGGACAAAAAGGTAACTCAGAGACGCGTCCGCTGTCCACTCTCTGAGAGTAAAGAGAGCAAACCCTTTAAAGCGATAACCATTCCCATCACACGAAAATCTAATTCCAAAAAACTGATTTTTATTCTCGATACTGAGCCGATTCTGTTCGTTTCCCGTCTGTAGGGTTAGGTTTTGCCCTTTTTTTCTTTTTCTTTGACCATCTCTTCATCGTTTTCTCCCGATTGCGGTTATATAGAGTGACAATCGGAGAGAGGAGGTGTGTAGACAAGGAGGTTCAGAGCACCGACGGACGGAGGAGACTTGCCGGAATGACGACGACGATATGATGTGATATTCGTGTGTCGTTTTTGGTTGACTTTGATCTGGAGATTTTGGAGGGGGGGTGGGATATTGACGGATCGGTCGGGGATTAACTGTTCTGGAAGAGACTCGATTCTGAGGTGAGGGAGATCGGTTGAAGATTTCGAGACGCTTCTTCGGAATTCTTATACAGTATTTGTTTTTAGAGCATTTTGTTTTCATTTTCCAATGTATTTTTTTAATATTATAATTTCTTTCTTTAGATCTGTTTTTGTTTTGTGAGGAATCTGGATGGTTTTCGTGTTTTTTTGGGGATTTATTGAGATCTTGGATATGAATTTGTTGCATTGAATTAATTTTTTTTGCAGTTTTTCAGGGGGGTAAGAGGATGTCATCGTCGAATTCGCCGTGTGCGGCGTGCAAGTTTCTTCGTCGGAAATGCACGCAAGAGTGCGTGTTCGCGCCGTATTTCCCACCGGACCAGCCGCAGAAATTCTCCAATGTGCATAAGGTGTTCGGGGCGAGCAATGTTGCGAAAATCCTCAACGAACTCAACGCGTCGCAGCGGGAGGACGCTGTGAACTCGCTGGCGTACGAAGCGGAGGCGCGGCTTCGTGATCCGGTTTACGGTTGCGTTGGTCTTATCTCGATCCTGCAGCACAGGCTGAAGCAAGTGCAGAGCGATCTCGAGCACGCCAAGAAAGAGCTGGCGACCTATATCGGACCTCAGGCTATGCTTCCTATATTGCAGCCTTCAGCTTTTATGCTCCAACAGCACGTGGGTAGCGCGTCTTCCTCGGCGGTTATGCAACATAACATGATGCCCATGATGGGGATTCCCACGGGGCCCACACCTCATGGGGGTCAGTTGGTGATCCGGGAGCCACAGGCTCAACAGCATCCGCATCAGGTCTTTGAGGCGCAGCAGTTGGCTGCCGTGGTGGCGGCTAGAGAACAGCAGGAGATGCTCCGTGGCTATGAACATCAGCAGCAGGGTCAGCATCATCATCAGCAACCAGAAGTTTTGAGGTTTAACAGTGGTGGGTTTGAGGGGGCAAGTTCGGTGACTCCTACTGGGTTCAATCAGATTTCCACCGTGACAGGCGGTATGTCTTCTTCTTTGGGTCTTGGAACCTTTGATAATCCTTATGGTCAGATTCATCAGCAGCAACAAGAGCAACATCACCACCATGCTCACGGGCACCCGCTTCAGGCACAACTTTTGCTCCAGTCTCAACCAACACAGTCACAGCAGCAACAACCACAGCAAAGTCAGCAAGGGTCCAGCTCCGGGAACGAGGACAGAAGGAGTGTTGGTCCTTCTTGTTAAAGATTTCCCTGGCAGCTCGTGTGCCTTCTCGCTTTTGCCTGAAAGCAAATTTTCATTCTAGGTAGGTCTTCCTTTCCATGTTTAGCTTATTGCTTATGGTTTGTTCCTGTGCATATGAGGGTTTGTGAGTACTAGATAGCCTTTTGCATTAAAGAATGTCTTTGTTGCTTTTGTGTATAATGTGGGTTGGATCTTTCATAAATGGGGCAATATTGTTTGGTGGCAGTAGAAAGCTAAGATTACTCTTTATTGCACAGAGAAGAATGGGGTGGTTAAGGGAATTATTGTCTTTTTGCAGCTGGATATTCCATTCATCTCACTACAAGTAGAACCTATATGAAGCAGCCTGTAGCTTAAATGTTTTTGCCCTTGCTTAATTAGATTGTTTGAAGACAAGTCGTTTTCTCGTAACAAAATTCTACAACATTTATACGAAAATAAATGACTTAATGCATATGGGTTCGCATTAAATTTAGATGTAAATAATGATCATATCATTATTGATCTTTAATTACAACAATTATCGGATAATAAATGACTTAATGTATATAGATTCTTGGGTCAGTTAATTTTAGATGTAAAAAGCCAATTATATATAATTATTGATTCTTATTATTGTATTATGATTTTATTATAAGAAATTTTGTGTGAATCAACATATTATTCCCACATGCATAAGCCGTGTTAAGTAGATTTTTGAGGTAAATATAAGACAAGGGAATGGTAGCTAGGGGGTTTTCGGGCAATTTGGTGGTAGTAGATCAAATTCATGATCTTGACACTTGTCCTCTGAGATTTTGCTCACCTCCTGTTTAAAAGAAAAGACCACCTGTCCTAATAGTCACTAGATAGCCTCATTTTACCTAATTTCATGAACTTAAGTCTGCTGGTGCAGTATCCCCTTTCTTGGATATTGATTTTTTTTTTTTTTCGAGGATGAAAAAAAATTAGAAAAATAAAACGTTTTTGTTATTTTTTTCTGTTCACTGAAAATTAGATTGCTTTTTTTGTACAGCAAGAAAATGAAAGTGTGCCATTTTCCCCCCCAATGATTTCTAGCATTGACCTGTGGTTTATTGCATTTCCTCTTGAAAACTTGAGTGGAAATTAATTATGGGATTTGTTTATAGTGTTAATTTTGATATGAGAATTCATTAAGTCCGATTAATGTTTGATTTTTCTTTCTCTTGCTTTCTGGTGCAGCTCATATCTGCAGAGTACAAAATGAACAGAGAAATAGAGAGAGAGAGAGAGAGAGAGATTGGAGGAGATTTAACAGCTGAGAGATCCGAATTCCAGCATTATTTTTTGGGTTTTATGAAGACTTTCCTTGGAAAATACAGTTTAAAAAAATTAATAGCATTGATCTTGGAGTACGTACAGTTGTTTTTTGTTTTCAGTTTAACTGGAGATGCCATGGCTTATTATATAAATGGGTAATCATCTCTAAAGTTTTTTTTTTTTTTTTTGGGTTTATCTTTGAATGAATCTATTAATTACATTATCATCTTAATTCCTCTTAATTTGTAGTTGTATAACGACTATTATTATAATTATAGTTAAATAACACGGTGCATGCTATCTCCCTCTCGTTTTTAGCTCTTCCACGTTTTTAAACTTTTGTTCCTCTTTAAGCAGCTGGTCTTTTGTCAATATTTGATTATTTGAATGCTTTATTTATATTTCTTTTTCTAAGTAAGAAGGAAGAAGTCTATTATTAACCTTAATAGTCGGCTGAAAATATCTCTCTTTTTTTTTTTTGAAAATAATAAATAAGTTGTGAAAAAATAAGATGATGTTCTAACATTAAAAATATTAGAACATTTAATAAGCAATCACAAGATGATTATGATATAAGTAGGTTTCACTTAAATCTTATAAATCATGTTCTTGGAATTAGATGTTTTTGATTTTCACTTTTCTTTTCTTTTCTTTTCTTTTCTTTTTTTTTAATATTTAGGTCCTATTTAACTTTTACATATTGTATTGAGGATAATTTTTTGGGCATCTTGCCTGGTACTAAAAAAAAAAAAAAAAATTATAGTGTTACACGAATTTTCATCCTGCTCTAAATTTTTCCCATCTCTATTCTAAAATAATTATCATTTTTTGATTTTACATTTATTTTAAATTAATTATTATTTTTTAATTTTTCAAATAGATAAATATTTACTTTAACTCTATCATTATTCATTCACTTTAATTAATTATCCAATCACAAAAAATCTTTTTTATCTTTTATTTGATCTTTTTAAAAAATATTATAGATAAATACAAATATGTTATCAAATATTTAATTTAAGGAAAAAGTTTTAAAAAGAAAATTATTTTGAAACAGGATACAAATTAATTCAGTAAAGAAATTTAGAGAGAAAAATGATTTGCATAATCTTATATCTTATGCTAAAACCTCACAATTGTAATAAAATATAAATACAAATTATTATTTTTATTGAGTATAAGGCATGGATCTATATGTATCTACTTGTTTAAAATTTTGTTAGTAAAGATTCACTTACATTTACGTAAAATCTTAATTATTCAATTTTACATTTTTAAGGGTTAAAATTTATTTACATTTATTAAAAATAATTATTTATTTCAATTAAAAAGTCATGATAAATTTTAATTATTAAAAACAGAGAGATGAATTGTTGAAATTTTATGTAAGTGTAAGATATAGAAGTTGTGTATAAATGCATACTTGTTTGTAAGATATATATATATATATATATAAATTCTTAATTTAGACTTTAGACTCAAAATTAGAGAATTCAATTTTTTTTTATTCTAATTTAAAATAATGGTCACTTTTAGCCCTTTACAAGTTCATTAATTAGTTGGTCTTTTTATATCATTAGACTGATCGACATTTGAAATTTTTTCTATAAGTAGTTAAGTGGTTTCAAACAGGAGGGAGTATTGAATATGAGAAAGAGAATAGTTTGTAATCTAATTTGCAAAATCACATGATTAAAATAAGCATTTAGTCATCAATCCTGTTCAAGTACAATTAATGAAACAGCCACACCGTCATAACATAAATAAGGGTAAAGAGTACAAAGAAATTCGTACTGATAGCTAACTAACAGGCAGCATATTCAATTCCTAATTAATTAAATTGGAAGAACATGAAATATCGATGCACCCAGTAGCAGGTTTTTGAGTCCACAACAACTTGTAATTTTCATATTTATTGTGTTTCTTTGACTATACATGATTACACATGTCATAATATATGTCGTAATTTAATTGGCAGAAGGTTCGTTCCTTACTTTTGTGTAAGAAATACATAGTTACTTATAAATTTTTTAATTATTTGATATATATAGATAATCTGTTTTTGATTGAGCTAATACGATACCTAAAAAAATAAAAATAATTTCATTCAATTTAGTTGTTGGTGAAAAAATATGTCTATGTTATTTCAAAAATCTAATTACGGCCTTAATTATGTACCAAGATAATAAAGAATAACTCTACTATATGGAAGTACAAGATTAGGATATAAAACGGTTGTATTATAGACTTTTTGACCAATATATATGTTGTTCAATTCCTAGATCAGGTGAAGACCTCGTTATGAAAATGAGAACATATACAGGGGTTGCTTGATCGTAGGTTAATTAGAACAATTTTAAATATTAAATAAATTATTGATACACATTCAGTTTAATATATTTTTTGATACACTTTCAGTTTAATAATTAAAAATATAAATATAATTAATTAAGTCAATTCTTATATTAAAATTTATTTATTTTTAATTTTAAGCAAAAAATAATAATTTTTTAATAAATATATTGTATGATATGTTTAACTAAGTGTGTACTAATTATTATCTTAAATATTAACTCTGTACACAGGTAGATATAAAATTTACTATCGAATGAAGAGAGGTAAGATAACTTTGCCATCACGAGAAGGCAGAAGCAAAATAAGAATGAATTTTATTTAAAAAAAGAAAAAAGAAAAAAAGAAAATCGTTAATGCCTCGTTTGGAGTTTTGAATGTGAAGTATGCATTGGGTATTGTTTTGATGACTTTGGAGTAGAGACAAAGGGGAAGAATAGTAATTACTTGTATCATACATAAAGACAAAAACAACGAATTAAAATTTGAGAACTTAAAGGGTTAGATTTGATAATAAATATGTATCATCTTATAAATTAAATTTAAAATATAAGTTTAGAGTTAGTACTTAAAGAAAATTAATTTCTTTTAAAAATATTAAATTAATGTAAGACACTTTTAAGATTATTTAAAAAAAAATAAATATTGAAGTATACAAAAATTGATTTGAAGACAATCTAATGATAAATATAAAAAAAAAAAGTATTTAAAAGTTTTTGGTGTCATTTTTCAAAACAAGTACATAACCAAATTCACTGCAAATGAAATAGAAATGCCTCACTTTTTATTATTATTTTGAAAAGTTGCATTTAAATTTTTCTCTAAAGGCAACTCACATGTGTATAACATGCAAATTGAATCCATGACCCCTTAAGTAGTGAGAAAATATTAGACAAAACCCGCTGGCTAGTCTCTTTGAACTTAATTAATTACAAAAAAAAAAAACTAATTATTCCATTTTCTTAGCATGGAATCCAAGACCCTTGACTTTTTGCCACAAAAGCATGACTAGTTGAAAAAGTTGCATTTGTGTACACACCATATCTAAAAAACAAACACACATTTCGCCCAAATGTTGCACGTTTAGATTCAATTCGGGTCTACTGCATCCAACCCATATAAAACCCACCAAATCTTATTTACAGATCTAAACACATTTCTTTAACATTATATATTTTATCCAATCTTTCAATTATTTGCATGCATAGTTTTCATAAAAAGAAAAAGAAAAAGAAAACATTTTTTTTCATGCTTAGAATTCAATATTGGAGGAAAGATAACTTTCTCGTTTAGTATTGGCGAGCTCTGACTTACTATTTTCCCCTTTTTCCCTGCATGAACACACGCATTCGTGGACTCAGTGTATCCCAATGCATAAAAGTCAGAATGTAATCTTCGGTGAGATCTATTTGGATGAATTTTTTTAAAGTGCCTCAAAGCCAAAACAAATTAGAAACTTCGAAACTAATTATCAGCTTGGATATATCTAATTAAGTCTAATGTGAAATTTTTTCTCATATTCTAAGTAACTCAATTCCAGGAGTTCCCCAATTGATGCCAAATTTTCGGAGATTCCCCTTTCTATTCTCCAGAAATAGCAAGACAGCACTGCTGGAATTTAGTAGTCTAGCTAGTTGCCTTGGGGATGGAATGGACATCCAGTGTTCCCCTTGAATGAGAACTTCCTAATTTCTCACCATGTTGGCCAATAAGATTCCCAAAGATTGAAGGAAGTGGCAAGAGTACTATTGGAAGAGGACAGAGTACAGCTGAAAGGTGGCAGAACATAGGCCTTGTAATTGCAAGTTCATAAGCAGCATGAAGAAACTGACGCTAGACATATCACCTCCTGTACCAAAACAAAGCAGTTTCATCACTGGGGTTTCCAAGATACTAATTCCAGTAAAACAAGCTTCAAAGAGCAAAAAAAAATAAAAAATAAAAATTGAAGGCATATATTAAAGGTCACCTTACGGCCCTGCAACTGATTTCACGTGCACATTTCTGATATACTTCAATTCTGCCCAGCATAGTAAGTTCATTATATGTATAAATAGCTGGCACATAGAGATAGAGGAATGGAAGGCCTATACAGATTCATGTTCCCACAAAGTCACATTAGGAAAAAGGAACATGTGTCCTCAGTGATCTTTAACCCACAATCCCAGGTTGAACAAGAGTTAGTCTATCTTTGTCCTTACCCCTCTTTTACCCCTTTTTCCTGATGTAAAACAAGCTAATCTAATATTCTGCAATAGTTTATATTGAAAAGCTTCAAATTATATCAGCCAAACAAGATGCTGGCATTGTAACATCCAGGATCCCCACCATATTTTGTCTAGCCCACTAGCATTTGTAATTTTACATTCCTTGCTAGGTGCGTCTTAATTACTTCCACTCAAGAGGGGTAAACCAACGGGTACAATCACCTTAAAGAAGGATGATATGACGATGATAAGGTATATATAATCCTTATATTTAAAACAGCCCACACAGAACATAAGCAACAATGAATCTTAAACCATACACAAACAGATATTGCCTACTTGAATATGGCTTTGGTATCAAAATTTCATCCACATGTAAATAAGCTACAACCAAACCTGAATGTGATGATGATGGACATTTGGGAAGTCTGTGTCTGTCCAAAAATTGGACATCTTTATCTAAAGTTTTTAACTTTTATTAGGGATGGCAACAGGTCCCACGGGGGAAGGGACCCCTCTCCATCCCTATTCCTGTTAATGATGAGTACAGGGATCCCGCATGGATTTTTGGTGAAGGATAAAAAATGGCCTCCGTCCCATACCTGCGGGGAATGATAGGTCCCCGCGGGTATTTGAAGTTCTCACTAAATAAAACTCGATACTCGTTTCTCATACGAGAAATTAAATGAGAATAGAACGAATTAAGAGCAACAAGCCTCAAAATAACAATACGATTATTGTTTGTTATGAATGCAAGAAAGAAGCTACGTAGGCATGTAAACAACAAAAATCGCATTCGACAATCTTGCAAACAATCAGAGGGAAAATGAAATCGAAGATAATAAGGCCAAAAGAATGAGATATGCTTCACCTCAAAATAAATCATCAAGCACAGATATTCAGATACTCACAAATACTTATAACTCAGGCTCAAGCAAACTACAAGTAGCTGATTGAAGAATAGAAACAAAGCTATAGGCACTACCTTTTGAAGGTTGCCGAGAATAATAGGTTAAAGGAAATTCACCGATTGAAAAACAAAAATAAAGCCAATAAGCTACAACACAGAGGAGAGGAAACTGGAGGAGAGGAGACTGGAGGAGAGGAGATTGGAGTCTGAAGAGGAGGAATCGTAGAGCAAATTTGAGAATTTCAAAAATTTGAAATAGTCTTTCTAGTTTTAAGGTTACTAGCAAATTGGGTTGGGCTTGGACAATTAAATTTAAGAAGATAATGCAAATTGAGTTGGGTTTAGGTAATTAAGTTTAAGAAGATTATGGACTAGACTGGACTATATAATTGGATTTGAAAAAATTGAAAAAAAAAAAACCCAATTAATTACGTTAAATAAGTAAAAATTAATTGTTAATATATTTAAATATAAAAATTTATTATTTTATATGAACTTCCATGATGGAGAAATTTCTCACGAAATTTCATAGGAAAAAAAATGCCTTTATCTCTGTCTTATGGGGAGAAATATTCTCGAAATTTCTATCCCTTGTGGGAAAATTTGTGAAGCTCTGCGGGTCGCGGAAGAAATTGTCATCCCTAACTTTCATCTTCAACCATATCTTTATCCAGAATTTCATTTAGAAAATCATATTTTCTGCCATTTATGCCATTCCACAGAGTTCCATACTGTTCTTCCTGATACAAACTTTGCAAGAAAAAATTCCTTTTCCGAGGTTCTGATGCATGAGTGGAAACATTACCAGTCTTGTGCTCATTTGTTTGCAGATGTTCAAAGCTCAGACACGGCTCAACAAAAAAAAAAAAAAAATCAAAGGTAAAATCAAACCTGGAGCCGGAAGTTCCATAAGTGAGAAACGGTGAAGTTCGCGAAACCTTCGAATTTGTCTCACGGTTAACCACCAGAAATTCCGCCAGTAAGAGTTCGGAACTGAACTTGGAAGAAACCACAAATGAAATGAGAAAGGGAGGACGGGGAAGGTAGGGAAGCTCGTAGTCAGTCGGTGTTTGGGCTGGATTTAAGTGCCTTTTTGGGTTTGGGCTTTCTATCATTGGATTTCCCTTTTCTCTTTCTTTTTGGGTTGTATTTTTTGGCAAACGCAAGAAACAATATTTTGTTTTCCCATCCTTTAGACCGGTATCGTCTTATTGAGGAGATTCTCTTAGAAATAAATTTTATATAAAATTATAATTATATATTTTTTATTTTTGTTTTTATAATTTGTATTATAAGTTGTATTAATTATATATTTTTTCATTAATTGTCATAAAAAATAAAAATTGACTTTAATTTTATCATTTATCTAATTAAAACCGTACATATATCATTAGTGATAAAAAAAAATTAAATTTTGTGCTTTTACATACAAATTAATATAAAAAATTGTGTAATTAATACAACCTTAACTTGTGCTTTTAGACAAATCCTTTCACTATTAATTGTTGGGATTTTTTTTTTTTTTTTAAACAGTTTCAAACCCGCCCAGAGGAGGGAGATGTGCACTTTTCAGTGGCTCTAGCCACTGGACCACACGGGCCAAGTGCATTAATTGTTGGGATTAATCATGATTTTGAGATAAAAAAAAATAGTTAACTTAAAAAAATAAAAGGATAAAAAGTAAATAAATATCATCTATGGAGTTTAAAACCGCAACCCACGAGAGGTGATCTCCACTTGACCAAAGATCTCAGCTACTAAACTAGGGTGTGGGGCTCAACCGGTGTTTGGATTAGTAGTTTATATTTAGTAGATAGTAGATAGTTTATATTTAATAATAAATATGGATTTACTTATATATAAATCTTACACACTACATATATATAAAATTTGAATCATTCATTTTTAACTTTTAATGCTTAAAATTTATTCACATTTATTAAAAATAATTATTTTTTCATTTAAAAAGTTATGACAAATCTAAAAGTAAAAAGAAAAATAATTGAGATTTTATATAATTGTAATATGTAAAATTTATATTTAAATAAATATCTCCTCTTTAATAGTTATTATTATTGTTTATGATTGAACTAATTTTATTCATCTTGTTATTTTAGCCAATTAACTCCTAGTTTTAAACCTCAAAACTATCGCCTTTTCCATCCAAAGAAATGAAATTACCACGATCTACTTTCCTTGAGTAAACGTTTTGAAAGTTTTAAGTGAAAAAGAACAAAAGAAAAAAAAAATGTCACTATCAAAATCATTAATGGGGCGGTAGTGCCCCAGACGGTATAAGAGTTATGTTTGATATTTCAACCAAACACGGATAAAAAAAAATTTTAGTTCCAAGTGTTTGTTTTGTTATGAAGAATAATAAGCCAATGTCTTGGATCATTCATTCTTCATTTCAATGTGGAAGACCAAAATCTCAGTGTGGGCTCTCCATATCCCTTCCTTGAGATTCCACAACCATGCCTACTTTGCACTGAAAGTGACTTTGTTTCAATCCAACCATTCTCTTAACTTTATTGAGTCTTCTATGTTTCACCACTATGAATTCCATAACCAAACATAACTTGACAACCCGGAAAATCAAACCTCTTAGCATATATGATAAAAGTACATCAATTATTAGTTTTATATGTATATATATCAAAAAGCTGTTTTACAATTTTATTTTTTTGAAAATAGGTAATGGAATATTATTACTAGAGGTTAATTTTACATGATATGATATACAAAACTAACCAAATCACCAAATCACATCCTTACTTAATGTTATGCCTCACAAAGAATTCTAAGATCTCTCGTTTGCTAGATTATAAGTTTATGTTCCAATTTCTCATGTATCTGCAAAATTTTGATGGGGACTAAAGTTAGATGAATATACAGCAGTCTCCCTGGTCTTGTGAACCCCACCTCTTCAACTCTGGCCGTCTGATTTTTCTTCTTCTTCTTCTTCTTCTTCTTCAGCTTCCATGACATTGCCTCCAGTACTTGATGTACCCTTACCAGATCCACTTGCAAGGAGAGGACCTTGAGGTGAACCAGATTGTGAACTGCTTGCCTTCATCTGGTCACTGCACTGATCTTGGGCCATGCATAGACCATTTGCTGCAACAGCTGGCAATTTTCGGATATGTAACCTGTATTTCTGCCAGATACACAACAATTCACACGCTAAATCAGAATACATATGCCCATTAAACAGTATATCTGAAGAATTAAAACTAAAGAATGAAGAATACCTGTAAATGGCTTTTTACTTCATCATTTGTAAGGCCATCAACTTGCATTAGTTCTCGGATTTGCTTAGGAGTGGCCACTGCGTAAGGAATACATACCAATCAAAAAGAGAACAAATATGTATACAACAAGAACACAATTGCAAAAATTTTACTAGAACTCTATGCAGTATTTGTAAAAAGAACCAAGTTGTAATACTTGAGCATTAAAAGGCATGATTCCAGCAATTGAGAATAAAGTTGCTTCTTTTACTGGATCTCTACAAAGTATTTTATATACAAAACAAAGCAGAAAGAGCATCAATCCTAAAAGATCAATAAAGAATAACTAAGCATTTTCCAATGCTGCAATTTGATAATTGGTAGTAATTGTCTTTGATTAATTAAATATAAAGATCTAGCTCAAGGTCTAACCTTGTGATCCACCAAGCTGTCGAAGTGCCTCCACAAACCGCCTGTGGAGGTCAGGTGACCAGCACCGCCTTTGTTTCCTGGAATTCTGTGGCTGCTGCTGTTGGGGTTTGCTGTGTACCTTCATTTGGTTTTGATTTTCAGACAGAGAACCAAATCTGCTGCTGCTATGGTTCATCAAACCCGAATTACCAGAAATCAATTCAGAGATTGGACTCCTGAGGGAGAGACCGGTAATCCCAGGTTGCCCTTTGAATGGTACAAAAGCCCCTTCCCTGTCCCTGTTTGTGTTATTACACAGCTGAATTGGGTTTTCAGATAGAGATCGATCATCTTCTTCACTTCTCTGTCAATTAAAAAAAAAAAATCCCATCTTTTAACTACATAAAAACCTGTAATTTTCATGAAAAACTAAACCAAAAAGACAGAAAAATTCAGCATTTTACCAGCTTCAATTCAGGAATTTTGTCTTGCTTTTTTTGAGCATGACTGATATCAGTGTTCCAAAGCTGAACAGAACTCATCCAGTTTTTCTTATCATTGATTTCATCTTCCTCAAGATTTCTCTCAAATGGCAAAACGTCTTCAGACTCAGAATTCAATTCCTTACACCGAATTTCCTCCTCCTTCAATCTACCAATAGCTGCAGCCCCTCAAAAACTTTAAATTAAAAAACAAAAATCTCCAAAATTAAATAATAATAATAATAACAAATTACAGAGAAAGGGAAGTACCATCATTTAGGAGGAGCATGCAAAGAGGGAGTTCACGTTTAAAAGCATCAATCTTTCTCATTTCATCTTCCAATCTTTTCACATAATCATCAATCATCGAGAATTTCTGAAACCCATCTCCGATTTTCGAAACTTCTCCGAGAAACTCAGTCATGCTTTTGGGTGCATAAACCAATCCCAAATCCAAGCTCAGTTCCACCATTTTCCTTCGTTTTCTCTGATATTTTCTCGCTCTTTCTTTCCCTTACCTCGCCCTCATAAGCAGGACTCTGCTCTGTTTATATAGAAAAAATCTGGAGATTCAAGATTCGCCACTAGCAAACGGTTCGTCGCGTATTTTAGGTTTACTCGGCGACTCGGTAGCGTAACTCAGCGAGTCTTCTGACAGAATCTTGGGATTTTTTTTTTTATTTTTTTTTTTACTTTTCTGGTAAAGAACTAATTTCCATTTTTGCCAAACGTAAGAAAGCAAAATTACTCTTTGATTTTTCAAGATTCTTTGGTAGGTGGTGAGGATTGTTGACCACTGGAAGATTTGGGTATTTTGGTCATTTAATAATTATATAGATAATTTCTTTATTTAGAATATTTAGATTTTATTGGCTGTGTCAAATTTGATTTCCATTACTTTCCAAGGCAAGAACATTAATTAAATGCCAGCCATTCGCTTTGGTGTAATCTGCTTTTTTAGTGATAAAATGTCCCTATATCAATTTCAATTTGTCCCGCATCTCAAAATTCATTTTTTTTAATTTGATTAAAAATAATGATAAATAAGGTTAAGATATGATATTAAAATAAAATTAATTAGTATATAAGTTACACTATTTAAAATATTGAAATGTGAATATTATATTATTTAATGATTAATTTTTTTTGAAACCCATAATATTATATACATTAACTAATTTAGTAAAGTCACGTCACTAGTTCTAAATTGTTGTCCTAAATTTCCATCTTTCCTATTATTATTCTTCAATTAAAAATAAACTATCCACGGCAAAATTAAATAATTCATAAGAAAATTACTTTTTTCTTCTAAAAAAATATGATTTTGCTCAATGTAGTGAAGAGTAACTTCCTTTGTCAATTAAGGTAAAACTCTTTGGATGTAAATTCATATTTGGCTTGGATTTAAGATCTATATTTAGTTTAGATTTACTAGTATGTAAGTATTATTTAATAAGTTAGGTTTAGATTTCAAGTTTTGAAAATAATTTTTTTAAATACATTAATTTAATCTTAAAGATAAATTAGCCATAAAGTTTGCAAAATTTAGTTTAGGGACATCCTAACAATAAATATTCCCAAAAATATCAATATGTAGCCTCTCCTTTTTGTATTTTGTATTTTTATTTTTATTTTCTCTATTTTTTATTGCTTCAGTGCTCAAGGATTTTTAGTCATCCACTCATATCTCGTTTAGGAAAAGTGGGAATTTACTGGTCAGACTACAAAAATAAATCAAAACTGACTTTTTTTTTAAGTTAGGATTAACTAAGGTTTAATATTAATTGTTTTCATTGAAATTATGTTAGAGTATTGAATAGACATTATTGTTATATTACTATTATTTTGGATTGTCAAAGAGAGTTAATTATCTTTTTCTTTTTTTAATTTTTTAACTCACTTTATTTACATATCAAATTATTTAAATTCAAAATTTTTTATTAATTTTCACTAAAAAAGTCATTAACATTAACTTACCCCAGTCATTGACATAAATAGTCATAGATAGAAAGGAAATAGTAAGATTAGAACGTATGTTCATTAATTTAGTAGAAAATGATTATTTATTAAAAAAAAAAAACGTAGAAAGTAATCACAAAAATGCTATGACCAATCATGCAAAGAGAGTGTTTCGAAGGTAAAGGTGAAGGTGAAGTTGAAGGTTTAGGTTTAATTTCATGGTACTGCATTATAATTGTAGTTACAAGCTCTCTTTTTTTAATATCTTAAAAATATATAAAATATATCTAATATTTATTTTAATTAATAATTTGTATAATTTAAAAAAATTAAAAATTAAAAATTAAAAACTAAAATATTGAAAAGTGTTTTATGACAAAACTTAATATTTCCTTCTTTATTTCCCTCTTCACGTGTGATTTTCTTCGGAATGCGGCAACCAAACCAATAAATAGTTGAGGACCCATCGCAACTAAATCCCTAGTCCCCCGTTGCAATAGGGCATGTTTATCTACCATAGATTCTTCAACAACATAAAAATATTTATTTTAGAAAAAAAATAAAAATTAAGATATTTTGGCACATTAAATATCATAATTTTTTGTAAAATTATATAAATACTTTTAATAAATTTTTTATATATTGATTTATTAAAAAATATTTTAATCTTTTCATTATTAGTCATAACATTTTAATTGTTAATACATCTTAATTTAATTCAATCCCTTTATTTTATAGCTTAATTTTAAGAATAATTTTGGGATTGTCCCCTCAACTAACTGTTGTCTTAAAAAAGCGCTTCAAAGTAAGTTTTGTATCATTGATGCTCATTTACTACACAACCATTATCACTCCAGACAAAATTCATTTCTAGCAATCTTCCTTTTTATTTTTTCTTAAAAAAAAAAAAAAGGCAATGGACATTTCTAGCTATCAATTAGTTTATTTTGAATTTGATTTTAACTTTGTCTATTATCAATTAAATATGTCCCTTATGATCTGACCAATGAATTCTAGTATTCTTCGTGTTGCTTTGCATTAAAATAATAAAGTAAAAATAATAATAATTGTTTGAATAAAGGATCAATGAAAAAGAATTCATAAAGCACCAAAACAATTCATGGTATCATTAGCTAATTGTCACTACTAATATACTCTCACTACCTCTTTTTTTCTTTTCTTTTTTTCTTTTTTTTACTACAATAAAGTAATTATTTAGACTAAATTTACCAATGATTTATTAATTTGATTTAAAAAAGTTTGATTTTTTTAAATAAGATTTTAAGTTCAAATTTTATAAATGAAAATATAAGTGCTGAAAGAATTTCTCTTCTTATAGGATCTGAACTTAACTCAACTTTAAACTAAAAATAACCCAATATAATTTTTAGATATCAAGGTTTGGAACCAAATAAAATTTAGACTAAAGCTAACTTTAAGGGACTTATTTAAGGTGAAAATTAGGGAAGGGTTTGATTGAAATAAACAACTTAGTTGAGGAGTCAATCTTAAAATTATGCCTTAACAATTTCAAAATTTTGATTAAAAAAAACAAGAAAAAAAAAAAAGTAAACAAGGCCATTACGGCAACCCAGAGCGCAACACGTGGAAAAAAAAATTTAGAGATAAGCGGAGAGATTCTCTCGTCCGTAGCGAAGGAGTCGAGTATTCCAGAACCCGAGAAACGTTTTTCCACAAAACTTTTGATTCCCTTGACGATGAAATTCTACTCGCGGCGCAAAGGACACGTGTTGAAAGTTTTTTTTAATATTATAATTACAATATTATATAAAATTATAAATTTATAATTATAATTTAATATTAAATAAATGTTATATGTAATATTATAAATAAATTATAATTATAATTAATTAATTATATAATAATATATTATATTATAAATTTATAATATCACGTAATAATATTATAATTATATATATATATTTTTTTTACGTTAGTATAAAAATATTTTTATAAAGGCACTTGATTCTTCGGATCAACTGATACTTTGTCAATTTAAAATACATTTTTCTTTTTTTATGAACAAATTTTCAATTTATCCTTGACAACTTGTTTAAAAAAACGAAAAAACCTTTATAAAGAGTTAATTCGCAACTAAATCATAAAGCTGTTTTTTATATTTATGTTTTTTTTTTCCCTATTGTATGAGATATTTATACGATGCATATGTGTGTGCTTAGAGATAAGGATTCCTTTGGAAGTTGGGTTTTGATTGGTTTTGGTTTGTTGTGAGGGAAGCTGAGGTGCTCTTTTCATTTTATTCAAAAGGACAACAAATTATAGCCATCAATGGTGGCTTTTCTGTGTGCCGTTAATTCCTAAGATGACTGATTTTGATGCCATTGGATATTATAGAGTAAAGCAATTAAGATTTTTTATTATTTATTTCGTTTTTATAATTAAGGTGTTTTTCAACTAATTTTTATGTATTTTGAAATTATCTAACTATTGAGATACACTCTAATATAATATTCTTTTTTTGTTTATTTTTATTTAATTTAATTTAATTTTTTATTTTTTAATATAAAATTTAAATAAAAATTAAATAATTTATATAAATAATAATTAAACATTTTTTCATTTCATATAAAATTGTTGTTAAGTACTTTAATTTGATTAAAAAAATTTTAATTATTATTTATACAATATATTAAGTTTTTATAAAAAATCTATATTCAAAAAGTTAATAAATCAAATTATGCTTATTAAAAGTGAACAGAGAAAGCATTTTAAAATTATTTTTTTAATATTGACTCTAAAATTTAAATCTTAAATTTCAATGTATAAAATAATATATTTATACCAATGAATTCAACTATAAAAAGTTAAAATTTATTTATAAAATCCACATGTAACTCAAAAAAAAAAAAAAAAAACTAGATAGGCTGCCTTTTTTTGGGATTTTAAAACTATAAATTACATTTTATGATAAGTGTAGTATTAAATGTAGATATATATAATATCAAGTGGTGATATTAAAAAAGTCAATCAAATATAATATAATATAACATATAATGTTAAATCATATTGTACACTTTATTGTATCATTTTAATTTTTAAGCCTATCATTTCCCTTTTAAAATTTTTTTTTCGAAAAAACACAAATACAAAATGTTACAAAGAATACTTTTAAGGGGAGGATGGATAAGGATGGTAGACTGGTAAATTGGCTTGTTCTTTTTTTTTTTTTCTTTTTTTAAGGATATGCCTCACTTTTTTTTATTTAAAAGGATCAAAACAAGCATTTATCAGTTATCCGTTGTCGTCCAGTCGTCCAGTGGTTACGATGTCTGGCTTTCATCCAGGAGATCCGGGCCCGATTTTGGGCAACGGAAAATTTTGCATTCATTTCCCACTCCTCCAATCCTTAATTTCCTTTCACCTAAAAAAGTAGTGATTCTGCTTTCGTACACCCCGAAAAAAAAAAAGACAAAATTTATATTTTTTGGAAAAGTGTGTTGGGACCGCCGACAGTATGTAGAAAATTAAGAATGGAATATAATAAAACAGTTTTATAGAATAGAATGTATATAATTTATTTTATTAAATTATTTAAATATTTTTAATTTTATTTTTATATTATTTTTTAAATATATTTAAATGATATTACAAAACAAATTGCATACAATCTATCTTGTAAAACAGTTTTCGATAAATACAAAAATTCAGTATCAAAATATTTTCTTTAAAAAAAGAAATTATTTGATATAATTTCATGTTAACAAAGGATGTACAAATTGTCCACCACAGTAAAGTTGACTCAATTTTCTCAAGAAAGATGATTCAAGAAAGAAAGATGAGTTCATTTCACAGCTCCCTTGAAAAGAGTTTCTTGAACAGAAACAATTAATTGAATCTCAGATTTTTTTCTATTTGAACTGTCAATAGACAAGATGAGGAAAATACATAAAAGAAGAGAAAAGATGAGAAAAAGAAAGAAGAAAAAGGGAGAAAGTTAAAGACTAAATTGTAAACCTTATATCTCTTGACCTTAAGGAGGATGGCATAGGACCCACTCAACCATCAGCTCTTGACGAAATGAGAGGCCAATTGTTTTGAAACAGTGAAGCCATTGAAGGAGTCAACATCAAAAAGTTCCTTCAGCTTTTCATCACATATTACTTTCCTCTTGTCAGATGGATCCTAAACAACCAAAGAACAGTTTGAAGACTGTTTAGATATAGCCATTTCAAAGCTATCAAGGATAATGCAGAATCTTTAATCCCTTTCGTTTTGGGGAGTGGGAGTGGAAGAGGAGGGGTGGGGGGTGGATTATAACCAAGTACTAAATACAAGGAAAGCACCACATACCTGGAGGTTGTTTTCTTTTATGTAATCCCACATTCTCTTTACGACATCTGCCCTTGACAATGCATGTTCTCCAGTACCAAGGAACTTCACTAGAGCATCAGAAAGTTGAAGAGGAGCAAGAATACCTGATTTTCCTCTCTCTGCACTTGCTCCTTTCTGTCGCTTTTCTTTTCTCTTAGGTTCATCTGACTCTATAGTTGGAAATACAAAAGAAAAGTATGAATAAACACTGTGAGAGAGGTTTGTGTCCAGCAATGAATCCCACACAAACACTATGAAAGAACTATAAACAAACCTTCTTCTCTCTCTTGCTTACGTTGTATTTCCTTCTCTATTGACTTGACAGGAACAACTGTACCATGAAAGCCAGTACGAAACATAAATAATATTTTGTTTATAACAGCAATAGGCAATACTTGCAGTAAATTGATCATGGGACAACCTTCTTTTCCCCTATATTTTAGAAATTTATGAAAAATAATGAAATGGGTATGTCTCATTGTTCTTCAAGGGTAAAACCATAAGAGAAGGATAAAAAGAGGAATTTGGGTCAATGGAAGAGCTAATGGTTTTGGCCAATAGTGTGGAGAACCAGAAATTTTTTCTCAAAACTTTTAGTAAAAATACATATCAATTACCTAAGTATATTCATTATCAAACATTTGAAATGATACGACTTCAAGAAAGATATAATGAAAATAAAATGGTAGAAGCATACCATCATCTGAATCCAGTGGCCGGATATGCTTTGATAGAGCCTTATTCATCTGAAACATATCAATGGATTGAACACCAAAAAGGGCATGCAATGGCTCATCACAAATTATAGTTTTCTTATTAGCTGGATCTTGCAAATTCTTCTCTCTAATATAAGCCCATATCTGCTTGACCACCTTATAACAATATAAAACATAAAATTAACAGCAAAAAAGAGTAGTTATGTCAATTTGACATTTTGAATGATAACAAAGCCACAGGAAACTTCACAACTTTCTAGATGTAATGTACCTCAGTCCTCGCTAGTGTAGGCACCCCTAATAACTCCTGGAGTTGTGGGGAGAGACTAGATAATTTGCAAAAACCACCTACTTTTTTCTTGACTTCATGGTTTAGCTTCTTTGACCTGAATCATGTGGCAAATCAACAATAAAATGATAAACTAGAAAGTATAATATGGGACACAATTAATCTCTCTCCAAAAGGCAATAACCCTCATATGACATGAAAATGTGAAAATGAGATTGTTGATCTAACTATATCCCAAATAAATGTGCAAAGTTAAGGAAAAAAATATAAGCAAAAGATATTTGCCCTCTAGTTTGTCATAATTGTAATTAAGTAAGAAAAACAGTGTCCTTTAGGGAATGTATGAAAGGAAAGGCTTGAGACTTTGAAGTTGGAGGTCCCAAGTAAAAATCTTCAGACTGGCATGGAGAGCAATCCCATTCCCCTATTGTATAGCCCACAGTTGGATGAAAATGGAATTTAAATACTTTATTAGTTGTTGAGCAAGAAAGGGAAAAGAGACTTGTGAAAGTGCAGCTGCAGGGGTGCAGCCACTAGCCCAATCAAAGAATGGAGGAAACATATGTTTAAGTGTTAAAGAAAAGATATGGAATTCTGCTACAGCCTCGACCATCATTATTTGCTTGTATGACGCTATAACAGTAACAAGACACTAACCTTTTTTTTTTTCCTTGGCCAGCTACATAGAACAAGACACAAACTAAACCAACCACAACAACAACAACAACAACAACAAAGAAAAGCATTTTTGTAGCTGTATGAGCAAATCTGAATGACCGTTTTAAAGCTCAACCAGATGATAGCCTCTTACTTTCATAGTAAGAATAAAAATCAACTCTGTTTAGCAATCATTTTATTAAATTTCGCTTTGTTTCCGGGACATAAGATAGACAGGTTGTAGCAGCATGTTCCACCAGGATGACAGACAGAATTGGATTATTTAAAGACTTGTTCATATTAACATAAACAGGTTCTATCAATTTTGGCCATTCAAGAGAATTCTTCCTACTTACAATATGTTTGGTAAGTTAAAATAAAAACAACATTTTTAATACAGATTACAGAACCCAATTCCACTTTGCGGTTGCATAAAGCAAAGAATAACACCAACAATCAAAGAAAACCAAATCCACAATGCACGCAAACTTAAAAATAACTACCAAAGCAGGAATTAACTTTAAAATGAATTTATAATCTCATTTAATTAGATAAAACGTACTATCATAATAAATAATTTTTCTTATTATTATCATCACCATAACATAATTATCTCAAGGTTACGGATGTGTTAAAAAAAACGTGTAATTTATCAACTAACCGACCGTTTTTTTGCGGAGCGCTTCCCGTTATTGGCCCCTTTATTATCATGATCGTCGTTACCGTCATCCGTCGCATCAGAGCCACCGGATTCCTCTGATTTTAGTTTCTCCGTCTGGTCACCGTCGTCATCGTCCTCTTCTTCTCCCTCTTCTTGCTCTTCCTCTTCTGCATTCCCGACCTGAGTTTGGAGATACAAATCTACCTGCTCTCTAATAAACTTCTTCTTATCCGACAAATCCACTCCGAAATCCTCCTCCAATTTCCGCCGTACGATAGCGGTGGTGGTGGTGTTCAGGTCCGATTCCCGGAGGAACTCACGGAGTCGAGAGATTAGGTCCGAGTCGGAAACCATTTTTTTTGTCGGTGTCGTCGTTGCTATTCTTCTTTGCTGTCGTGTTTGTTGGAGCTCGGCGGTGAGTCAGATAGCTGAAAGGGAGAAAGAGATGAAAGGACAAATATATGGAAAGAAAAAAAAGAAGATTTTTCTATCCTCCTCATATAATTATACAATAAATATAATTTTTATAATTAATTTTTAATAAAAATATAAATTTCAATTTTAATTTAATTAATTAATCAATTAAAATGATTAATACGCTAATAAAATTAAAATAGATATTAATTTTTAAAATTTTTAATGTAAATTAATTAAGAAAAGAACCATTTATTGCGACAAATCCAAAATAAAAAGTGAAAATATTGGGTCACCCCACTCACCCGTTTCTCGTTAGACTGGAATTGGATTGTATGTGGGGCCTACACAACTGCGGTTTTGCTCCTGGGCTTTGATATGGTACTTGTGTGATATGACAGATATACCCTCAGTTTGACCCTTTTGACCGTGTAATTAGGCACGGGAGTAGCCTTGGTTTACAGGTTGGAAAAACGATTTGTCTCGTGGACCGAGATGATGAATTATATATAATGTGAGACTGACCAGAGACTTGTTTGGTTTGAATAATGAGGAACGAATATTATTTTAACAAAGGTATTTTTTTTTATTTTTTATTTTTAAGGTATGAGGTAATGATGTATTCATTATATTTATTAATTATTAATTATGCATTAATACATATAAAAAAATTAACATTAATTTTAATATTTATGATATATAGATATTTTTTATTAGATAGTTAGTAAAATTAATATCAACTTTTAATTTTATTATATATATTAATAATAAAAAAAATTATAAATGTATCATTATTTTGTACCCTTATGACACTTGATAAAAAAAATTTTTAACTAATTAAAATTTAAAAAATGTTTGGATTAATTGTTTAAGTGTAGTTAATAACTAATATTTAATATTTAATGATTAATAATTGCATTGTTTGTAATTTAAAATATTAAATTATTTTAATTAGAATTTTCAACTAATAATTATTTACAAAATATGGAAACAAATATCTCTTAAGCTATTTTTAAAATAATTTTTCTGACTCTTGTTTTAAACCAAACAAGCACTCAAGTATCTGGGAAAGAGCATTTGTGCTTCAAAATCTTAAAGATGTTAATTCAATATGAGTGATATGGATTAAGCACTTATTTGAATTTCACATGTTATATAAGTTGTGAATTCTGGTAATCGAATGGAAGAGAAGGAGAGAGGCAAAGGGCTTTCGAACTTGTTTGGCTAAAATTATCATTTCATTTGCTTCTAAGGACTTTTCTCTCTTCCAATTGCAAAATTTTTTTGAAGAAAATATTACATTTTAGCATTTAAAATACAAAAAGTCTGGAAGAAAGTAAGTACTTGGTTTTTTTTTTTTTTT